GGGACTGGAGGAGGTGGGAATGGCAGGAACCGGAGGAGGTAGGAATGTCTGGGACTGGAGGAGGTGTGAATGGCAGGAACTGGAGGAGGTGGGAGTGGCTGGGCCAAGAGGATATGGAGGTGGCATTCTGGAGGTAGTGTGTGTGATAGGGCCTGAAGAATGTGCAACTTTTAGAGTCTAAAGGAGATATGAAAGACTGGAACCCGAAGAAGTCCAAATGGCAGGGCCTCGACAGAGTCATTACCCACAGCAGTTGTCTGAAAGGATATGGGGACAGTAATTACCATCGGAATTTATTTAACCCAGTGTTGAATTCTCTGAGGTCCATCATTGAATGATAAGATGTAGTTTCTCGATTCAGGCAGTGGAGGGAACGAGGACAGAGCTGCCAGAGTGGGAGTGGAGTGTAAAGCTAAAGGGGCAGGCTTACTGAATGGTTGACTCAACTCCCTGCACCCTCCCCCATACTGGGTACCCCACTGGCACCAATAACCTTTACACTGTTATAGTGCAGGAGCTGATTCAGACTGCCCATCCCTAGTTGCCTTGCACAGGTGGGGCTGTAAGTCTGAAGGGGGCTTCCAGGGCACTTAAGAGTGTATGAACAGTCACTGACTGTGGTCTGAACAGGATGAAGAGAAACGATTATTATGTCTGTCGCAGGACCATGGGGGAGGTGATGGTCTAGTGGTATTATCATCGGACTGTTAATCCAGAGACCTAGATAACGTTCTGGGGATCCAGATTTGAATCCCACCATGGCCAATGGTGGAATTTGAATTCATTAAATATCTGGAATTAAGAATCTAATGATGACCGTGAATTCATTGTTGATTGTCAGGAAAGCCCCATCTGGTTCACTAATGTCCTTTAGGGAAGGAAACTGCCATCCCTACCTGGTTCTGGCCTACATGTGACTCCAGATCCACATTGTCACCTACCCTCATAAACTGTCCACAATGCTCCAGCTGAGGCCACACTTACACGAGTTCAGCATCAAGCTCCTTGCTCTGTACTCAATGCCACTGTTAATGAAGTCTGCTGTATTATAATTAATCACACTTGGACCTCTGTTGGAGAAGGGTATAAAGATTACAGACCAAGGCAGATTAGTGAAATTAAGATACAGATGAGCCAGGATATTATTAGAGGTTCAAGAGCGTTGTCCTGTCCCTTATGCTCTGATTTTCACTGACAGGATTAGTGGTGGATGATTCTGCAGTCACATAAAAAGATTTTGGTCACACTTAAATATTGTGATGTCAACAGTCATGGTGCAGTTCTAGGTTTTGGCCACTACATGGTGCTGTGCAGCATGTTTCTGAAATACCTTTTCTGAATGCGTCATTTCATTGTATATGGAAAGCAAGGAGGCATTCAACACTTAGGCACTGGCACCCAAAATATATCCACCAGAGATGGAGGCGCAGGGTGGAGGTTTGCAGGGGGTG